TTTAACCTAAATAAGCTGATTTTTTCACTCTCTCTATAGTTGTAATTTTAATTAAAACATGTAGCATGTAATGAAATTTTCACATTTTTCATAGCAGACAGAAAAAGTTAAAAATTGCAGTATTTTACTTGTTTTCAAATAGAAAATTTCTTATTTATTGAAAAACAAAAACAGCTTACTTAAATAACAAACAAACCAGAGACGAACGATTTTTGTTTTGTTATCAGCTGCTTTTTTCTATCCTATTGTGTGTTTTGGCCGTTTATAACTTTTATGATTTAATATTTAACATTCTCTAGATGATGAAAAATATCGCTAAAAAATATTAACAATGGATTTTAAATATTCATGTGCGCTGAAAATTTCCATAAAACATGTTATGATGGGAATTCAGACTTTTCGGAAGCGTTTTGCTGAATGCTCCAGAATAAATAAGCTATGTTTGATGAAATTATTATTATTTATTCTTCTTGGTCAGCAAAAAAAAAAAATTGGGAAAAAGAGAAGATATGGTTCACAACTAGCAGATGTCTGCTAAAACGCCCTAAATCAAAATAGACTCGACCGCCGCGGTGAACCAACAAGGTTGGTCCAATTAGGCCAATAAATGAAAAATTAAATACTTGCTTTTCATGCGCATTAGCAACATTAATTTAAGTTATTTAAAAAATGAAATTAAACTATTCGCCATTAAATATCTGGCAAGTTTAGTGAAAAAAAAAATATTTTTGCTGTCAATTTGTCCAATAATTTATTAATCGATTTAAAAAAATGTAGAAACTCCGATATATGGATTAATTAATTTTTAATCAAATTATTTCCATATGTCCAAGTTAAATGATAAAGCTGAAAATTAGAATGCAGAAGAATGAAAACTTTCCTCAAAAGAACAAAATCAATCACTTTTGATGAAATAAAAAAACCTTGCGCAAAACTTTGCAAATCCAATTTCCTCGAAATGGTGGCGGAAAAAAACCCCCATTCATAAAGTCTGGTTTATTGATCCTCTGTCAAAATTTCCCGGAAAGAAAAAAAGTCGGCGCCAAAAAAATTAATCACGCTTTTCCTGGTCGCCGAATATTCTCTTCCCGGACGTTAGAGTGTCCACCTATATCAAAGTTTATGTGTGAATGGGAACGAGAGCGCCTGCTGCTCGTCCCCTCGCGTGAATCTGCATTACCCCAGAAGTAAATAGATCCATCCCTTGGCGTGGGGGCGCTCGCGGCTTTTCTTCCTCTTTCCCGAAGCCTGGCAACGCCTGACTTTTGAATCAAATTTGGCTCGCCGAACCGAATCTGCTGATATAAATATTTGGCTCATTGTCATAACGAAGCAAGAAATAAAAAATAAAAAACCGCGCGTCTCTCCGGATGACGAGTTCGAGAGGGCCGGCCAGTAAGTGACCTTGACTCGCGACAGAATAATCTCCAGTGCAAATATTACTGAATCACTTTACAATTACAAAGTGCCTCAAAAGTTCACGATAAATATTTTAAAATAAAATTGTTCGTAAACATTTTAAATGTTTTAAAAACGTGTTTTTCATATTACAACAGGCAGTTTCAAAGACTTTGCATAATTTACAAAATTAAAATAGTGTATTAAAGTTCACCGGTTTTAACAAGAAAACTAGAATTTCTCTATTGAAATGAAATAAATACAATTTCAGAAATATTTTATTTATTTATGATTTTGAACAATTTTTAAATAAGAATTATTTTAATTAAACTAAAATTATTATTGGAAAGTTATTACAAATCTATTATGTTAAAATTTAAAGGAAGTTTTTTAAATTAATTACAGTTCGTTTCATGAATTACGATTGCAGACAATTTATTCAAACTTTAAGCTTCGGCAGAAAATCACTATATTCTCATAACTAATCAAAAACGTTTTGATCTAAACGAATTTAAAAAAATTAATTTTTAAACCAAATTTAAATGAAATAATAAAAAAATTTAACAACTCTTTGATAATAATTGATAACTCCCGGATTTGAATAATTTGAAAGAACGATGAAATTATTGAGAAAAATCCGTCAAATTTAATGATCGATACGTTTTTCCTTCCTCTTATCATCCAATTAGTGAGTTGCAAAGGTCTCAAAATGTTTGTCGAGAGGCAGCTCTTGGGCGTAGAGAGAGCAGCTCCAGCTCTGCTAGTCGCTTGGTCACATTATACGTATTTTATTGATTATTATCTCAATTACGGAGTCCCTGCTCTGCCAGGGCCGCGATTTTGGGCCCTCCCCAAAATCCGATTAGTTGAAAATTCCAATAAAGCGCAAAGGAATAATTATGTATTTAAAAAAATATATATTTGCGCGACACTAAGTTGTAGCATCGAGGGGAAGTTGAGGTGACGCGCCAACGCCTATTGGATGATTTCATGGCCACGTCCAATCTTTGTAAACGGCAGAATATTTTATTTGTGTATCCAGAATTTTGAAATATTGAAACCAAAATTGATAAAATTATTAAAATTAGAGAAGAAAATTAATGAACGGGAGCAAAGTTTCGACAAGTTATCACAAGTTGATAATGAGGGTCACGTTTGTCACATGAACGCTGGCAAAGAAAAAGTCGAGTCGGCGCATTTCTTTTTTTTTTTACTTCTTTCCGTAATTACGTTGCGATTTAATTTCTCTCGTCAGCGGTTCGGGTTATTTTTTCCCGTCGCTTCGTTTATTCGGCAAACGAGAGGAGATTGAGAACCGAAGGGGCGCGGGATAAACACATACGCACAAAGACGGCTAGATATATATGGCGTGCACTGAAAGAGAGAAAGAGAGAGCAGGGCTGTGTATGTGTGTGCGTTTGACGCGCGCGATAACAAATTAAAATCAATACGACGTGCGGCCTCACTGCTCCTGTTTACTTTAATTTCAGAGCCACGTGAAATCGCACGGGGAAAATAAATAAAATGAAATGGGTGTTTAATATTTAGCAGAGGGAAGTTTACTTCCGGCTACTTTTAGACCAAACTTTTGAGGAAACATAAAATAATACATTCGTGATAAATCGGAGCTTATATAAACATTATTCCGCATTGTATGTAAATTGTTAAGGGGAAAATAAGTAATAATGTGGAAAACACAGCTGATTACTTAATATAAAGCTATTCTTACTTCTTTAATTTTTTTTTATTTATTTGTTTTGAATATTTATTTATTAAATTGATTTTCAATTAAAAATATCTCCAAATTTAATAAAAAATTTATTAACTTAGCTTAGGAATTTTGCTTGTTTAATTTAAATCTAATGCAACTCACAAAATAATTTTTTTAATATTTTTACCAATTAAATATTCACCAAAATCTTTTCTGGGAAATTTCTTGAAATAAAATTAATAGAAATTAATGCATAAACAAATTAATGGCATTTCATATCAAATTGCAAGCATTTAAATTTTGTAATGGAGCTACATACTCGTTATCAGTTATTGATTGGAGATCAAAGTGTCACTGTGAGAGCTGGAATTATTTGCGACGAGTCGTCGTGTGACTCTCCGGTTTGCGATTAGCATGCGTGCACAAACGGCCGAGGCGAAACAAAAAAGTAAACTGGTTTTATTGAGTAAAAAAAGCAGCCGCGGCGGAAAGAAAATAATGTGTTTTCTCCAATTGCACCCCAGCCCGTGTAAAATAAGAAGAAGCGAGAGCGGGCGACGAACGGAGAGGGTTCACCCCCTCCACGCCGGCCAACCCCTACTTTCCTACAAGTTTCATCTTTTCATCTCTTCCAGTAGTGGGCTTATTATTATTATTCAGAGCCAGGCACAGCTCGCGGCCTGGAATTTTTCAACCAAATGCGCGCGACCCCTTTTATTTTCAACAATATTAAAATTTTAAAAAATAAAATAATTAAATAATTTTTTTTTCAATTTATTGATTTAATTTTTAATTAAATGTCGGCCGCAATAGGAAATTTTAATTCTTTATTAATATCGTAGTTAAAAGAGCGGCCCCAAGGTTAACTTGTTTTTTTTTCTTCTCCAAAGCGCATAATGTGATATGTTGTGTAGAATATAAATATATATTTTGTGGCAAACAATATAAAAAAGATCTCCTGTTTCTATCAAGCGTTAATAAAGATTTGCAATTTTTAAGAATTAATTATTTAATTTAATTAAAAATTAAAAATGCTTTAAAATTGAACATTATGTAACGTTTTTTTCTTAAACTTTAATCAACCAATTTCCGGCAAAATTCAATATTTTCGAATAAAATTAAATTAAAATGCAATCAATTAAAATTATGGAAGTTGACGCTTCGACTTTCTAAAGTTGACACGAATCTGCAGCGCGAAGGAAGCACGGCGGTAATCATTATTATTTGGAGCCGCCATTTGAGCGAGAATTTCACTGAAAGCTGCAAACGGCCGCGCTTGTGCAACTTTTTCGTTTAATGCACAAGGTCGAGAGTCTTTCTTGCCAATGCACTCTCTCGGCCGATCAAAAATAAATTGTGCTTTTTTAGAGTTATTTTTCCTCCGTTTGGCAATTATTTTCGTTTGTTTTTCCTGGCGCGTTTTTAATGAAATTTATTTAATGGTGAGAAACACGGTCGACGGGAAACAGATAAGATAACGGCACTGAGTATGGTGCTGCGGCGAAATAAAAAATTCAATCTAGCAATTTATGCAAAGCTGTAGTAGTTCCGAGCTCAGCAATTCGCACTCGCAGGGGTGGGGGTTGAAGGGGCCAAATCGGCCAATCGAGGCCTTTGGCAGGCGCGCGTACTGACGTCACAATTAAAATGTCGAAATTATTATTATTATTGTGCTTTTCAATTTTTACAATCTTCGATGAAATTCGAAATTTTAAAATAAATTTTTTCAGTAATTAATTTTTATTCAAAATTTAATTTGCTATGCAAATAAAAATTTAGAGATAAAAAATATTTTTAATAAAAAATTAAAAATATTTTTTAACTAAAATTTGTAAAATTTAATTATGCGGCGGAAAATATTTTTGGAGCGGACGGATTATGTTTGGCTTACCTCTCCATGCTCCTCGTTTCTGCCCTCGGGGGTGTTCTCAGGCAGGAAATAGAGCCTTAGACTGGAGAGAATGTTATCACTATTTTTGTCTTGCCACAACAATTGCAGCTCCCCGATGCTCACAAGGTCCGAGTCATTCCAAATTTTGACAAAGAAAAATTCACTGATTGAAATTGTCCTCGTCTGTCCGCACTTGTCCACATATCGGAACGCCTTGTAGAAGGTGTAGGGCCCGTGTCGATTGCACGGATCGCCGACCAACTGCAACACAAGCATTACCAAAATTTGAATTCCTCCTCCTTCAATACAAATTTAATCGTATTTTTAAATTTAAAATTCGGCCGAGCCGCGAATTTTTTCGAATTTTCGCGCCTCGTGTCCGGGACACATTCGCACACGTCTCTGACAAAAATCTCACCTGTACACCGGCGTTGTCCATTTTAAAATTCAATTTGAATTAGACGAGTCCGAAACACACGTTTGAATCGCACATCGGTTCACTTTGTAATACACCAATTAGTGACGTCACGCGTGTGCTGTGTGTACCCGCCAGAGGGGGACACCGCGCGCTTTCATTCGCACCGAACTCGCTCCTCCACGCTCGTTGTAGTGAACGACGGATGGAGGGGGCATCAAGAGCGTAACGAAGAGACATCTGGCGAGCGAGTGCTGAACTCTTACCACAGGAAAAACTACTTCTTTTCAAGTGTCATTTACGCACATGAGGCAGGAGCCTCTTTGAAATTATTAACCTTTTAAATTCTAAATATTATAATTTAAATAGGATTTTTACTGAGGCTTATTGAAATAATTTCTTATTCGTAAAATTCAGTAGTCTTCTTCTTCTACAGCACCTCTTGATTAACACAAATTAAATGTTCGTGGTCATTTTAGACAAAAAAAAAAATATATATATATATTTTATTTAATTTGTGAATTTAAAAATTACCTTTTTCTGTTTTAAGTTGAAACACAGCAAGAATGATAGAAAATGTGAACATTATAGTGAATGTTTTTGTTTATTTTTAAGTTTAAGATGATACAAAGAACAGGAGGGCAGGGGCGGTTACGAGGTCTCCATGGCAGTGCCAGTGGTTGCTGCAGCCGCACTTTCCTCGCTGTACTTGCCCTTGTCCAATCCCTTAGCCAAAGCGCGGCCCTTGGCCCTGCGCTCAATAATCTTCTTTCTGTCCTTGTCCATCTTCAACTTAACGACAACAACCTAAATTTGAAATTAAAATTATTATTATTTTCTTTTAGCGCCAAAAAATGAATACAAAATATAGTTTTTAATGAGATTCAAGCTGGGTGCTTAAGTATTTATATTTTTTCCACTGTACTTAAATGACTCAAGAATATTTACTACAGAACCTTTAAAGAAGTTTAAATTATTGAATAAATATATTATCAATCTTTTGTTTTTACATGAAAAATTAATTAGTACTTGTTTATCTCGTTTGAAAATATTTCTACAAACTTAGTAATACTTTAATAATCAATGTTACTCCTACTAATTGTACCTTTGAGGGGTGGATGCCGACGTAGGCGCTGGCTCCGTTGGCCTTCTCCCTCTGTATCCTCTCAATGTGAACCACGAATTTTTTGCGGTAGACTTGGACGACCTTTCCGACCTGCTGTCCCTTGTAGTGACCTCGCACCACCTGCAAGTGATCTCGGTTTAATAAAATATAGCTTAGCTTTAAAAGTCTTTGAATGTCATAGATTAAAGTCAGAGCCTAGTATTCGTCTTGAACAGGGTCGGAAAATGGCCCAGACCGTAGCCAGAAACAGGAAAACCCTAAACCTGACCAGGTCACGGACCCCCTTGCCTGCTCAATCAGTGAATGGTTTATGTCATCATTGAGAAGGAGGACACCCTTAGGTTCAGTTTCAATTTCGCACCTGGACTTCGTCATCCTTTCTGATGGGCATGGTCCTCACATTGTACTTGGACCTCAGTTCTTTGGACAGGGGCGAGGACATGAGCCGCCTCCGAACGTGAGACGGAGCCGTGAAGTGACGCTTACGGTTCTTTCTTCTCGACGCCGACACGAATTTGTTCAGCTTCATCGTGGAGAGTCTGCAAAGCAAGACGCGTTGTAATTAAAATCCAAGCTGCTCGATGTAAACAAATGCAGAGAACTTGAAATTAAAGGGGAGTAATAACCGAAAGTAGCTAAATATAAAGTTTCAATTTCGATTGAACGTTCAAGAACGTTGGAAATTTAACATTAAATAATAATTATGCAAAAACAAGAATTAAAAAAATATAAAATGCCAGCGGTGCTCGGCCGACGAGTCACATGTGATCTAAATTCGGTCTCAAAAAATATCGGAGATCCGCTTCAATCAACGGTAACTAAAGTCACAGTTTACGAAAATGGTTATTCAAGAATAGATTCCAATAGATAAAATTGCGGATAATTGGATACTAACTGAAGATTTAAAAGGATTTACGAAAATCTTCCATACCTGTCAGCCTGTTCCACGAAGCGACTTATTTGTAAGACTTTCTTTTGTTTGCCGGTGGTGGCGACACTGCCTGCGCGCGAAATTCAAACAAAATCTAGGGGCGCGAAAAAATGATTGCGAACCTCACAACTTGTTCACAACATACAATTGAATCTTGATTTATTATTCATATTTATTGTAATTCCTTAATAATCCAATATTTAGAGTATTTAAAATTATCTAGGAGGATTAAAAAAATTCCACCGATTTATGATAAATATTTTGCATAGATTTGAAAATGACAGATTTTTTTTTTTCAATTCTTAATGAGCAGTAAGCAGCAGTAATTAAAAAATTATGAAAGCCTATCGTCACCTGGTCGTCACTATCAACATTAAATGTGATCAAATGAAGTATTAATTTTCAGGCTAAATTATTTTGACGAATTTTAATAATTCGTTGATAAATCATGAATAACATGTAAAACTGTAAAATTGATGCTACAACAAAACTTGAACTTTATAAAGGTGAAAGTCATTAAGCCGACAGAAGATATTTGTAAATTGTATTTAACATATTATTGAATATAACAGGAAAATACAACATAATACACTAATGTAACAAAAGTTTTTTTTTAATTCTTATTATATTATGTATTCTATATTCATTTAATTTTTTACTTCATTAAAATTTTTTAAATGGAGATGAGATTGAAATGATGGAAATCCCGTCTTAATTGCTAAAAGATTTTTCCGACTAAGAAGTCTTCACCAAATCTACTTTTGCAGCTATACTTTTTTTATTTTCCAAAATTCCCTCTCTTCTTTTACTCACTTTTCCTTAAAAAAAATTATCTTTACTTTCTCACTATCAATTTTAAGTACATAATACAAAAATTCTGCTCCTTTATTATTTAGTGACAACCAGTTTTCTATTTCTTCTACTATTACTCTTGATTACTCTATTATTATATAGTTTTTAACTGCTTCATCTGCACAAAGTCCTATTTGCATTTTTAAAATGCTCCATTTAGGTTAAACTAGTTGAATAAAAATCAATTCAATTTTAGTTTACTATGATGAACACCAGTTTATTTAAAATCATATGAGGTGGTTATGTACACAGTACACGCCATTTGTAGTATCAGCAACCATAGACATAGATATAATTAATTTTATTGCCATAACCCCAGCATAAAATGCATCCATCATTATGTCCGTCTCTATAAAACAAAATTAGGGAATCTCTACGATATGCAGACATTCTTTTTGAAAACAAAGTCTTTTGACAGATTCACATTGTTAAGAACTTATTGTGTGACAGTGAACACATCCTCGTTCGTAAATGACGAACAAGTAAAAAGCCTCCGCACTTACCAACTAAAATACACACACGCACAATCAAACATAAAATAATGGCACTTTATTCCGAGACAGAATAGTATCCGCTTGCTTATAAAAAAGGAAAAGTACAGTTGTGTTGCCAAGAAAGACAAAATCAAGTAATGATTGAATGAACACATGGTTGAGCACTCGCGATATCAAGTGGGTAAAAAGAACTGCTAGTCAAAACAAACACCACAAAATGGTTAAATTGGATCATCTCTATTTACACAACAAATAACTCATCGTTATATCTATTACTTTTTTATGCTCTTTGATTAGGTCAAACACTATTTCCAGCACAGTACAGAAACAAAGTCAGCAGCACAGACATTTGAATTCTGCCACATACAAAAATTAAATAATCAGTTAACACAGTAGTTTGTTCGAGGATCCCGACAAAAACTTATCAACCTAAAGCATCAAAAGCTCCGCTCAAAACAATATTTTTGGCTTCGGTGTGATATGATATATCAAAAGTTCTGGCAACAAAAGATCAAAACAATATTTTTTTTTTGTACTGGTGGAATCAAACGTCAAGACGTTTGAGGGTGAATTTGCTAGGGAGCAGTCTGCTGGTGTTGTTCTTGACGTCGCCAGCCCAAGAGCGGGACTTTGCCCTGAAGTGCTTCAAGTCTGCCTCGTTGCCCTGACTAAGCATCGGCACATAGCTGCGGGGTTCACAAAGATGGGAGTGAACCTCGTAGAAGGCCTTGTAGCCGCCATGCAAGAGGTACACTTCAGGGTAGTACAACTGAGGGTAGCACTCCTTGTTAGCAGCCCTGTCGGAGCTTCTGAGGTAACGAGATCTGCCGAGAACTTGGATTTAGCAAAAATTCAAAAGTTTTTAGTCACAACATCAGACTTACAGGCATGGTGCTCTCTCGGAGGAGAATTCACAATGGAATATGAGAATGTGCCTCTTGTTGGAGTTCAGGCAGGGGGTCTGACCTTGAGAGCCTCTGATAAAGACATCGTCGATGAGATCTTTGGAAAACAAGTTCTTGGCTCCTTTAATGTGGCCTCCGTTGAACTCGTAAGGGTATCTGCAGTCGATTATCGAGAAACTGTCAATGTGCTCGCTGAAGCCGCCAGTCAGCAAGTGCGCCATCGTGTCCGGGGATATGGTTTTGAGATCTTGATGCTTTCCGTTCATTAGGGGCAGCACAAAGGGCTTGGAGAAGTCGCCTATAAGCAGAGGCTCGACCGACGCTAAAAGTAAAAAATTTGTTAGATTCAAATCAAAAATTCAAAATGAAAAAAATTACATCTTTCGACGGAATTCTTTATGATGGCGTCCGTATCGGAAAAACTCCGCTGGAATTTTCCCAGGCCGGGGGACTTTGTTTTTTGGAATCCATAATTGAGTAGGGAGCTTTGGGTGAGAGCTCCTTTTGCCGAGAGCTGTGGGCTCGCACCAGTGTTATCACTCAGGCTGCGTAGGGGCTTGATGGGTGAGAAGTTGCGCCTCCTTTTCGTAGGGGGTTGGCTAGGCGACTCCTCAGGGTGCTCAGAGATCGGAGGCACGGGCCTCTTGAAAGCGTTGCTGGTGCACGTTTCCATGCTCGAAGGCAGGGCGTCCTGGATCGCGTTGAAGCTCGGACATTTGAATAGGGACAGACGAGCCTAAAAACAAGCACATTTGTTAATACAGAATTACTTTATGATGCAAATCGATTAGGTTTTACCTTGGAGGTAGTGGGGGTGTCAAAGTCACTGATAGAAAGACTGCGGTGAAGAGACCTTTTGGCGCTGGACTTGCCGTTAGAGGAACTGGACTGCTTCAAGAGAGGACTGCCTCGGAAAATCGGGCCAGACAGGAGACTCCCCATGCCTGAGGGAACGCTTGGTGACATTGTATCGTCCTGAAATAAAGAAATAAAGTTTAAAGAAATTAAATTTCATTGAAATAAATATTGAAGAAGGTGATAGAAATATTAAAATTGCTGGATATGAAAATTAATTTTGGTAAAGCTGTGAGAAATAAAAACTCACATCTTTATCATTGTTGAGGAATTCAAGGAATCCGTCATCGATGGAATCACTGCCTGAGGAGAGACACCTGAAGAAGCCGGTGCCCGATGATTTGGGCGAGCCAGGGCTCATAGGGGTCGCGCCCTGGAGCTCCTTCCTCGGGGTGTTCTTGCGAGGCGCCAAACCGCTTGGCTGTGCAAACTTGAAGGTTGCCGGGTCATCCAGAACGCTGTCCCTCGAGTCCGAGTTGTCCTCGAGAGGGAGGCGCGGTCGAGGCGAGCCCTGAAGATGGTCGGTTAAGAGACATTTCAGCACCAGCGAGAAAAATTATACCTTTTGGAATGGCATGAAGGAGCTGTTTTCCTTGTCTGATATTACAGACGCTACCCTCTGACTGCAGTGAGGAGATCTGAAATTGCACACTTGTTATTGCACCTCATACTACTATTTACGTCTGAATGTTTGAAGTATTTTTTTCTGGAGTATTTACCTGGAGGGAGATCCGGGACTGTTGATCTTGGCTGCATTTTTGAAGATGCTAGAACAAAAAATAAAAAAATTGAAAAATCTTTATCTTGAATAAGTTTGAAGAAGTTTTGAATACAATGCTATTCCAACAATGTGATTTATTTCCAAAAAATTTCGCTTGTTGCCGAGTTAAAATAAATAAAGAAGCATTTCCTATTGTCATATATGGCTATGCAAATGGAGTCATGCAAATGACCCCGTATCCCCTCCTTCCCATGCTAAACAAACAGAAATTCATGAATTAAAATTTTTCCAAAGTGACCTTTCGAAAAGATAAATAAAAACCAGGCACATTTGGGGCCACATTGGCTCCAAAACCACCCCTCGTTCAAGTCTCCAGGGGCGTCTGGCACCCCTTCAAGTGGAGTGCTCGAAGCCAGCGAGAAAGGCGCCGCGTCAAAACAAACACCGGCCTAGAGGGAAAAGGGGCCGATCAGCCCCAAAGTGGGTCCATACCTGGAGCAAGAGTTGCAGATCTCGCAGCAGTGGGCCAATGAGCCGGAAGTCATGGCGAGGCCGAAATTTAGGGCCGCCGGGTTTTTGAGTGAGTACGGGGGCCGAGTGGGGACACAGCTGGTGCGTCTCGCTCGGCGGCTCAAGCCCGACTGAGCAGGAGAAAGAGGCGGCTGGCTGGCTCGGCGGGAACCCCTACCTCGGCCGCCAAGTATGCGCGCCACCCCAGAGGTCCCTGCCCCTTTTCAGCTGCCCCCATGAATTATTTTAATGAGCGAGTTTGATAAGCCCCGATAAAACCACTGAGCCAATGCACAAGCTGCTCGCTTTTCCATTTCTTTTAATTCACAACAATAAATTCAGAAGATTACTTAAATTTGTAATGGATGAAAAGTGAAAAGAAACAAATAATGTGTTAGGTTTCTAATAATCCAGAAGAATTCAAATTAAATTTATTTTTATTGAAAGTGCCAAGCAAAAATTAATTTAGCAAAGCAAATGAAATGAAATTTTTTATTTAAAACTTTTAGAGACTTAATAAAAAAAAAAATGAGGATTTCAAATCTGCGTTTAAAAATTCAATTTTTCTATCCAAAGGCAAGGCCAAACAATTTTCTAATTCCGCTCGTTTTATTGTAAGAGGCTCATGAAAGATCAGCAGAGGGTCCAAAGGTCCAAGTTTTGAATTTCACGTCAAACCATTGAGCAGAACATTTTCTATATATTTCTGCTTTCAAAGCTTCCAGTGAGCACTTTGCTTTTCCCTTTCCACAGCAAAACCAATTCCCTGTAAAAGCTCTTCTTTGTTGTGCGCTGTGGGAACAACTTGCTTGGGTGCGCTATTTTTCCACCTGACAATAGCCCAACGGCAGGCAGGTATATATGAGAGGAGAGATGATAATAAAAATAGTGAAAAGGAAAAAGTGGCGCGAGAGATGCACCTTCCTTTTGCCTGGCAACAGCCCTAACTGACCCTCGGAAGCGCCGAAACTGCGTCGGGCGTCGATCGCAAATTTGGTTTAAGGCGAAGTCATAAGTTTATTCTTGGAGTGATAACGCGTGTAATTAGTCGCGACTCGCGTCGCATTAGCGGAACAATCAAAAGGAATGCGCCAGTCTGACTTTTGGCGCGGAGAGTGCACTCGGCGGCAGGCAAACGCCCCTTTCCCAGCATAAAAACGATGACCTTTCACGCGCTGGCCCTACAAATTCCACCTCAACCTTCCTCCAGGGAAACGTCATGCCTTAAATAATAGACCGTATACATAATTAAAATGTTTGATCGAAATAGCCTGACATATTCAGAGTATCTTCTTTGGAATTTAACACAATTAAATTCATCCAGTTTTGGAAAAAAATGAATTGTAAAAAGTTCCAACAAAAATTAGTAAATTATAGTTGAAAAAACATAAAGTTGAAATCCAATGTTATTGTGGATAATAATACTCTGCGTTAATTTATGCCTTTATTGGCTTAGTCAAATCAATTCCTCAAAACAATAGAAACAGATTTTTGCGACTGTTGGAAGACAACAGAAAACAGTCAAAAAATTTAGTCACCATTGTTGTAAATACTTGATTAGATTATGTCAATAAGGAGTCCTCAATAAAATTAATAAATGTATGTACCGTATTCGCGAAAAAAGAATAAAAATGAAAATTATTGAAATAAAAAGCTAAGGAAATTTGTATGGTTAAGATATTAGCTCTGTGCTCAACAAAATTTGCAAATATATAATCCTTTGCACGCCAAAAAACTTACTGGAGATTAAAAATCCCTTTAAAAAGTAAAAATAAAAAAAATGATTAAATTTTAATTTATAAAAATCGCTTAAAAGGAGGTAAGAAAGAAAAAGCCCGCCAATTGATCAAGCTGAGGTCAAGTGCCTCTGCAGTATGTGGCCATTGGAGCATCGTCTGTTCTGCTCCTCAAACCAACTTTGAGACTGATCGCGTTATCGCTACTCAAGTCACAAATTTCGGTGCTTCCAGAGTGGGTTAGGCCGGTGGCATCCCGCGGGGTCATTGAATTTGGGCCGCGGAAAGGCGGGAACGGAGCTCATACGTCCGCAGCTGCAGCGGCCACGACCAGTTTGCAGAAAAGTCAATGGACAAGACCAAGGCCAGTTACATGCACCGCGGGCCGAATCTTTTTTCGCAAACCAAGAGCAATGTCAGAGTAGTACACACGTGCTTGATAGAAAATGTGAGACGGCGAACGACAAAAGAGAATGATCGGCGGAGGCGATTCATGGATAATTTAATTTTCTTTTACAATATCCAACTACAATTAGAATTTTAAATTAAAAAAAAAAATGTAAAAAAATCTTCTTTTCCTATTTTAATCAAAACTTCTAAAATTGGAAAAAGTTATAAATTTTTTTTTTTCAAATTAAAAAAATTGCACTATTTTTAACTGAACATTTTTTATTGAATTTGAGATCGAAAATTTTAAATCAGGATAAAAAAATCATTGATTAATAAATTAAAAAATTAAATTTCCTCGATTTTCATTTTTAATTAGAGCAATTTTGAAATGATTGATTAAAAAGTTGAAGATTCCGCTAAAAGTATTATTTTGTGGCTTTTGCAAACGATGTTTGAAAACGGAAATTTCCCCTGCTGCCTGCTGTAAAAACTCCCGATTCACTTTGTTAGTCCCCCCAGCAAACACATGGTAATTTCAAGAAGAAGAGACGGAAGGGCGAAGGAAAGCTGCTGCAGAGAGGCCGCTCGATTCCCGTGCGAGCAAAGTCTCTTTCTTCCTTTCTTCTTCTTTCCCTCTGTGCCGAACACAATTTTATTTCATGAGGCAGCTGCTTATCAATACCTTAAATTGGAAGCAATAATTTCACTTTCGATTTTTATTGCGAAACGGAAAACGAGCGACCCTCTTTCTTGGAGACGATATGAGAAAAAAAATTAAATCAATCGGACGTGCTTTCCGAAAAGATTCAACTGTGAAATGGCCAACTTTTCATTCAAAACAGCTGTCGCAGAAATCGAAAGTCAAGGGCTCCTGGCTTGAAAATAGCAGCTTTTGGCGTGCATACTAAATATCAAGTGGCCCGCACCGGATATGCCATTTTTAACGTGTGTCACCACCAGCACTGCTGCTCACTCACGCAGCCACACATGCCTCTCCTGCAGCCAAACCGCAGAGTTTTGGTGTCTGTTTGGTGTAATCTGATGTTTTTTGGCGCCCATTTTCCCCTCCAATTTTTTTATCCTTTGATGGAAAAATCCAACTCTCAAAAACTTGTTTCATTGTGTGGAAATTTCACCTCATGTCAATCTTACTCCTAAATTAGATAGTACATAAATATTAATTAAAATCTAAATAATGTTTCTCATTTCAGGAATGACTGGCAATTTGTTAGAGTTAACCTTTTTTAAGTTTGTCCTCTTATTTTTGTAAAGGGGTGGAACATAAATAAATTCATTGGGGTCGGTTCTATTTTTGTTATAGTTAACCCTAGAAATTATAAAATTTTTCAAAATAAAAAATTCAAAATATAAGATCTTTTTGATCTTGCGAGTTTAGAAATTTTTTGCAAGAGTGGTGACTCCTTAATAATTGGTTTTCTTTTACAATTAGTGTTTTTATTTAACATTCTGTTTCAAATGAACAATATCAACAATATAATATTAATAGTTGTTAAATTAATTAGAAAATAACATTATTTTTCCCGCTTTTTTGCTTGTTTGGAAGAACCGCAGGAAAATCTATACAAAAATTCAGAGCATTTTCCCATGCACTAAATGTGGCGTGAAATTTTAAGATAACGAGATTCGCTTTGTGATGTTGTTGTTGCTGCTTTTTTTGCGCGGATGCTGCGGCTGCTTGGGATGCAAAGCATCAGTGTCTGTCTGTCGTGTATAATAATATAAAACGCGTCGGCCGGGAATAATGAACATTGTTGCCGTTGGAATGGCCTTGCTACGAACATTGACTCGCTGCGTGTATAAAGTGCCGAGTTGTTTGGAGGGAATTTTTTTGTACCGTCTGCAGTGCGCGCCACTCTGGTATAAATTAATAAAATGCGTAACGCTCGCTTTTCCAAATGCAAGAAAACAATGGTGAGGCGTCGAATTTCCGCCGAAATTACATGCGCGTTTGAATGGAAGGAAGGGTGCTTATCGCTCGGAAATCGAAAGTTGCGAAGCAAAAGACGCATAATATACAGAAGAAATCTAAGCGGGAGGCACGCTCCACTTTTACTACACAAAAGTTAATGATTATTGTATGCCACTGCTGTTGAAGACCATATTTTATACATAACATTGGAACTTATAAGAAGAAATTGGAAAATATAAAAGCTTTTTTATTTTCTTGAACATTTACCTATATAGCAATAAGACATCAGCAGTCAGTATTGAAATTTGTTTAATTTCCAACAAAAGTTTTGGCTATTTGAAAATGAGCACAATCTTGAGAAACCAGGAGCTGATGATGAGATATTTTTAAAAATACAATCAAATCATAAATTTTCGTCCCTTTAGAATCGACAAATTTGAGCACTTTTCAAAAACGTTCTAACCCTTCTTGTTCAAGCAA